GGAGAAGCTGAATTATTTTACATGAACTCCAGTTGTGGGATCCTGTTGTCTCATTATGAACAGTCGTAGTTGCTGATCCGTAAACATTTATTTTCCTAGGAATTAAGCTCTTTTTGATGTTGCAATACAAGTCAGTATAACTACAAATTTAAAATCTATTTTCATGTTTTAACAGTTTCAAGGTTTATGAAATGTGTTTTTTTCTGTATAATCTCACATCGCAGCAGGTCACAACCTGCTGCTCACCGAAACCAGCCAGCCTGCGTGAGCTTACCGTTCTAATCTTAGTCATATCACACTAATTATCAAAGCTGTCTGTGCCAACAAAGGTTTTGTCATCCTTCCAGCAGCTCATTTTTTTTTCTCCTGGTGTCACAGCTCTAACGTTTAAGCTAACATCAATTAGCTTTGTCTCTACAAGTGCAACATTTCCTTGACACGCCGACTCCGGATGCCACTTCACTGTTCTACGTGAAAATGACTACACAGTTCACAAAAAGAGACACGAAAACTAACAAAACACAGCTAAGCCGTTTTAAAACCTAAAAGCGGCCGGCGCATGCTACACGCAAAGAGTATTTCGTTCTTAATATTTTATGTCGGAGCCTGTTTGATTACAGCTGTCAACTGTGGTCGTCCTCAAACCGTTTGTTAAAGATTTAGGACCCATTTCATGTACAAATCATACTTACAAGTGATTTGACTACAAATGACTACAAATCACCCAATTAAACTGTACACTCTCATGTATGGTTGATGGTCAAATGTCAGTTCTCCAATGTGGACAATGTTGAAATGTCGGAGAGTAGAGGCAGCTTTACCAACAAAAGGGCCGGGACACAGTCAGGGGATGGAAGCATGTTGTCCAGGACCACCAGTCATTTTGTTAAGAGCTATTGATGTGCTGACTCAGCGGCGGTCAGTGACTCCCTATGATGTAGTAATTTATGATAATAATTAGATTTTTGCTGTTTTGCTGATGGTATTACCGATAATCACGGTAGTTGTATTTGGATTCTCTAAGAATCTCTGATGTCTATGTAAACTGTAGACCCACGAATTCTACATTCAAATTGATTTTTTAATTTATTTTCCTTTCCCCCCTTTTTTCCCCTTTTTTCCCCTTTTTTTCCTTTTTTTAAAAAATATTTTCCTTTTTTTTAAAAATATTTTCCTTTTTTTCTTTTTTTTCTTTTTTTCCTTTTTCCCCTCTTCATTTCAAATTTAAAACCGATAACTTTTTTGTTACAGTCTAAATTGGTATTTTTAGTTTTTCTTAAGTAAAAAGAAAAAGAAGAAAATGTGAGCCGGGTTTCCAGGCATCCGCCCGTTGAGCAAATGCTGGCGTGTTTGTTGAGTTCATGTATGGAGTGGGAGCGAGTAAAAGCTGCTGTACAGATTCTCATCAGCAGAGGCTGAGAATCTGGAGACTTGTTGCGCGCGTTTGCTGTATTCTCCACACCAAACCACATTGATTATGAACCGAGGTGAAGCAGAAGACTGTTCTGTGGGAAAACGAATGAAAATTTAAAAATTCTTTCGGACGATGAATGATGAATTTCTGAATTTATGTCCCCTGGACCAGAGAAGCTATCCAGCTTGTTAACAACACTCAGTTCAAAGGCCTACATTTCTGGTGGTTTTGGAGTGCATTTATGCCTTTGGAACACTCCATCCAGGTTTTTAGAACAACACACAGTCCCATGCAATGTTTCTTTTAGTGAAGGCCTTGTGTATTTCGCAAGATGATTATACACAGCTTGCTTGGACGTATCACAAAAGTTTGGCTCGGTTGCAGGAGGACTGGCCCGGCCTGCCAGCGATCCACAGATTGAAAACATTTGGTGCATCATAAAACACAGAATTCCGCAGAGATAAGCCCAGAGGGGAAGAATCCCACGTCGGACCGGAGTGGGACATTTGTCTCTCGGAGGTCCAGCAGCTGGTCACTTCAATCCCCACAGGTGTTCACGGTCTAGGGTTTCTGAGCAGGGGCAGAGATTCAGTCTTTTCTGGATATTTACACTGACGTTCAAATTCAAGATGTTTTTCAGGAAATGTGTTGTTCTTAAACATGTCATTTCCCGGCAATCTGTTTTCAGTTACATTATGAAGCAACATATGAAACCTTTTAACCTTAAAGTTGTATAACTCCTGCTGCCAAACACACATTAAAACCAGTCTTTCTTCAAACTTTACTGGCCAGTTGCTTGTTAGCATCATGCATATTTGGACGAGCAATGTAGATGGGGAGTTGTTCTCCAAGCTAATCAGATTAGGATCACTAAAAAGTTGGATTCGTAACAAATAGAACAAATTTAAAGCTTCAAAGATATCTATAGAGAAGAACAAACATGCTATTTGTGCCTTAACGCCTATCAAGCCACTATCTATAGAAAAAAAAGCAGCAGAGCCTGTAAGAAAACCAGCAAACAGAAGTTTGTTTAATTTTTCAACATGTTCTTAAAACAATCCCTCTAAAGAATAGTCTCTTTAGAAGGCAGATACTGCATAATTAAAATGACGGCTTTCTGAAACTCGCAGTGTTTCTTGGAGCTGTGTGCGGGGAACCGGTTGTGTTTTTGATCTAACGGAGAAAAAGCAGTTGTTTCATAGAGATCACTTTGTTTATAGCAGGGAGCCAGAAGAGGGAGGTTAGGTTTTCTTCTAGAATCACAACTGTTGCGCAAAATGAGCTGATATGAATGACGAGGATCTTTCTTTCTTTCTTTCTTTCTTTCGTCTGAAGTAAAAAACAGCATGTGTGTGAGAATTTCCCTTTTGGAAAGGACCGTCTCAGCACACACTGTCATTTTCTCCCTGGAAGCTCCTTTCCTTTTCAACCCCTTCTTCCTGTCAACAGCCTGTCCCATGCGAGGAAATGTGACATTATTTATTAAGTCATTGTTTATTGTGCCGAATAAACTCTTGCCATGTGGTGGATCGGCCGAGTTTTTCAGGGTGCAACAAAAGCATAAGAACAATGCACCGAGGAGTGATGAGCTGAGTGTACGTCTCATATCTGTGACCTTAAAAAAAACAACAAAACAACAAAAAAAACACACCGTCTGGACACACACACCCACTGAGTCATTTTTACTAGAAGTACGTCTTAATTATCACTCATTACGGATCGTTTTGATGTTACTGTTTAACAGCGAGAGAATAAGAAAAAGTGTTCAGACAGGTTTTTTTCCCCAATACTGAAGGAGTTGGTGTGGAAAATAAGTCAGTGAAGGGAAAGGCAATAGGGCGGACTGTGAGCTGCTGATTGACACTGCAATACTGTCACATCCTTTTGATGGGATTACATTGTCATGACCTCTCAGATATGGAAATTGAGGCACTGATCTGAGGCTCCGGAAATGTCAACATTATTAAACTGTTAAACCGGTCAAAGCGCTTAAAGCCACAGTCGAAACATTCCCCGGGAATCATTCCTCGCCTCTGTAGAGAAATGATTTCAGGAAAAGTTGTTTAACCAATCTGCAACATTTACTATCCAGTGGTCACGAAGTGGTCAAGATATCTACCAAAGTGTGTCATCTCAGTCCCACACTGTGGCTGTTAGTGGAGGGATGAAAAGGTCAGTGTTTGTGATGGAAATTGGACACATCAGCGTCCTGACTTGTGTGATTGTGAGTTAACCTTTGATGCAGTTTTGCATATTGGAATATTTTCAGAGGAAACTATCAAGTCCCCTTATTTTCCCTGGAGGTGATTATATCGGCTTTATTATGCTTCATTCTACACGTCCTCCATCAGCTCATGTTTTGTACCCAGCAAGAAAAATGCTTTAAAAAATCCTTTATTCCCAAATAGGTAAATCATGTAATTAGGGTGAAGTGCACAGGCAGTGCCATGACAAACTCCTCCCTGTACTTTTTTAAAAGCATGATCCTAGAAAAAATAGAGATAATTTGAATTTTTTAAAAGTCTTTATTTGTCTCTTTAGCAAAAATGAAACAAAACAGAAATATTTTTTTAATATTCATTGTTTATTATTGCACAATAAGTCAAAATTATCATTATTTAGTCTACTGACTGCTGTTATCATGGGTACATCTGATTGTGTACAAGGGTTTGAGCAAAGGCTTCACCATTAAATGATGCAAAAGAGTTCAGAAACCGTTCCTGTGAAAAATTAAGAATATGGCATTATAGGGTTAAAATCATAAAACTCATTTAATTGGATCAGTGAATGCATCAAAACATTTGTTTGGGCTATATATGTTCAAGGGGAGAAACATTTAAATGACAACTTACGTTTTTTAATGAAACGGTGGACCAAAGAAAAGAAAAGAAAAAGTTCCCACATGGCTCCAGATACATTGTACTTTATTTTCTTTGAGCCTTCATTCACAATCAAAGCCTTATCTGTCAGTCTCATATCATAGCGGCTTTAATAAAAAGTTAATAAAGCAGCGGCTCTCGTCGTGCTTCTACCTTGGAATCAGGGACCAGAGGGGGGAACTGGGGTGTGAAATAGACTCCAGTTAGCTGATGGACACATGAGAGGACTCGGATGGCTGGTTGTCACTCACAGCCAGAACCGCCTCTGCTCCATCTGAAGTCAAAAATATGAATCTAAATAGCCCGGAAAATGCGGATTTTTTTTTTTTTTCAACCAATATATCCCAGAAGTGGCATCACGGCACGCAGGGAGTTATTGGGAGCGCGGACGCGCGGAGCGTGCACGCGCACCGCTCAGCTGCGGGCTGGGGGGGAGGAGTCGTAGTGACGGAATCAGCCAATGAGCATCAGCCTGCTCTGGACCGAGCGCAGCATCCCTGTCTCAGCGGCACTTTTGCGCCAGACAAGTAGGGACGTTGTCTTACTCAGCAGTGGCGGAGAAAAAAAAAAACAAAAAAAAACGCAGGGATCCGGGAATTACTGAGCTCCGTTGGACGAAGAAAAAAGGCTCATCCATCACCCGTTTTTGCCTTTTTTTGTTTCCACTTCTGACGCGGGCGCGTTTTTTCCTTTTCTTTTTGGCGAAGATGAACGTTGGCCGCTTTGTCCTGGCGTGCACCTTACTTGTGGGCGCATCCTGGGTAAGATGAGTTCGTTTCTTCTTGTGTGCGCTGGTTGGGGGGGGGGGGGGGGGGGGCTGGGCGAGTGCTGCACTGCTGTAGTGCTGACTTACGCCGCAGGAGAGCTCCGGAAAGTGTCCGGGAACGGCCGCGGGAATCGGACGGAACTGTGCGTAACGCGGTGCATTTTGGTGGTCGAGAACATTTTTTTTTTAATGTCCGACTGTGTCCCAGCTTCTCTGATTCTCCCCCTTCCTCTCGCCCAGAGCAGCTGCAGTATTGCACTATTGCAGTGGACACTGGTCTCTGGATGGCTCTCGGCGTTCTGGAGCCTGCGAGTAACTTAATTTACGCACCATCAAATTTCTGCTTTCAGCTCTCAGGCTTCATAAAGTGGAAAAAAAGGAAGGGGGCAATGCATAATCTTTTCATCCTCTAAGTTAAGGGGCATCCAAAAAGGAATCAATTAGCGTGCGGATGTTGAGTCAGCTGTGTGACAGTAGCTGCTAAAACTATAGAATAAAGTTAAATTGGGATTTTATCTGTAAAGTGTTCGCTTTGGGTGGATTCGATGCTGTGTGTGCCAGAAGGTGTGATTTAAACTCAGCAGAAAAATGTGCTGCTACATTAACACTCTCTTTCACCGGCGTCTCCTCCACTTCCTCCACACTTGCTGACATGCGACCATTAAAGCTCACAGACACATATTTTGCTCTCCTTTTGCCCCTAATCTCTACTGCCCCCCCCCCCCCCTCCCCTCCCCTCCATTATAATTAATGATCACAGCATGGTCATTACGCTGGTGAGATTCTTCTGATGATCGTCATTATGATAATTTATTCCATCTTTGTTGAGGATTAAAGGATATCTCATGAGCCATTACATTGATTCAGAGCAGGTATCCCCTCTGACTGTCCCAGAGTGTCCAATGGGGGGGGGGGGGGCTGCCTCCAATCACTCACCCAGACAAGGGAGGTGTCGGGGTCATGAGCCTTAAAAAGGGCTGCCAGGTCACCGTGTCGGTGCTGATCGGACTTTTTTTCCCCCCTCCTCTCCTCTCTTCTGGACCGTTTGTAATAAATAAATATATATTTGAACTTCTCAGGGGGGTAAGGCAGGCCAGTCCCAAAAAGCTCCCTGCAGACCGGGCTTCAGCCAGAACTTCTACACGGTGATCGTCTCCAGGGACGTGCTGCGCGGTCAGAGCATCCTCAAAGGTAGGCCCGCTGGTCCTGATGACCGTATCTCCTCCCCACAGGCTCGTTTAATAAGTGTGCATGTGTGCTTTGTGTGTGTGTGGTGTGTGGGGATCTCCACCACCCCTCAAAGGTGGGAGCATGTGCACTTTAGCCATGGCTGGGTGGAGGTTTGGGAGAAATCAAACGACGTGACGGCTGGTGTGTGACGGAATGTGCTGTTCATTGTTGTGAATGAATGAAGACCAAGATTACACAGACCGTTGGGGAAATGAGCCATAATTTCTTTTCGGATTATTTGCGCGGTAAACTCTGCGAGCAGGCAGATTTAAGGAGCCGTTTCCCAGCTCTGCGTGTTGCTGCTTGCAAAGGAAAACTTTTACTTTCTCTAAGTAAGTACTTTCCCACCCCCCCCCTGTTCATTTTAAAAGAATCGTTTGGATTTCTTGGAGAGGAATTCGCTTCAGTGTTTTTCACTTCATTTCTCTTCCGTTCGGTTAGTGCACGGCGCTCGCTGCCAGCTTTATCTTCAGTCATGTGAAATTTCCTCCGTGCACAGCTCCTCCAGCAGGTTGCTTCTGCTGGCTGGTGAATTGGCGCCTTAATGAAAATGAACGCTGGCGCCTCCGGCCACATGCAGTTGTCCTGCTTTGCATAATCGACTGATAAAGAACACCTTAAATGCGCGCTGGATTTGTTTCTCCTCCAAAGACTTCATTATGAGAAGATCTTTAAACATCTAATGAAATGGCCACTGAGATGAGGAGAGAGGAAGCCTCACCGTTATTTCCACACTAGATTTCTGCTGTGATATTTAAAACTACTCCAGGTAGGGGAAAAAAACAAAAAAAATACTACTCCAGGTATTTAGATGTCTCATTCCTCTTATTTCTACTTACTTTGCTTTACTTTACGTCATTCATGGTTTTTGGTAACATCTTTATATGGTAATCTCTCACCTGACCCCTAGCCTGAATAGCCAAATATGTATCTCTTGTTTGTTCAATTGTTTTTGCTAGAAGGAAATAGTGATACTGATATTTAACAGCTTTTTCCTTCGACGAGCCCAGCAATGGAATGATTATTATTCTATTTATTAAGCTGACAAGGACATTGCTTCCTGTCAGTGCCTGGAGGGGTTCAGGACTCAAGGTTTCTGTTTCTGGCTTTGCTGATCCAAACATTGTTAAGAGCGGCTGTGTATCCAGACAGATAACGTGTGTTTTGTCCGCCCCTGTGCTGCATGTACATGGGCCTCTTGAGAATGCTGCCCACACTTTTTTTTTATTTTTTATATGTCCCTGTGTGCCTATTAGCAGCTAATGCTTCAGTTCATAAAACTGTACGTACAATCTCAGTAGCATATTTTTGAAATACCTTATGTGATATCACACCAGCTTTAATCCTACATTAACTGGGCTTCCAGTTTCTCTGACTCTGTTTTATTCATTTATTTTTTATTTTTTTGCAAAAAAATCAATCAGAGAGCCACACTGTCCTCCCCACTGGCTATTCAAAGAGATATGGGCTCCAGCAGCTTAAGTCATCCTGCGGTGATTAATGTGCATGGGCTAGCCTAATTTAAGAACTGTTTATGGAACAAAGAAGCAGGAGGAAGCTTTCAATATTGATACCGCATTATGTATAACCTGAAACTCCGACTTCCCAAGAAAATGAATGCGCCTGAGACTAAATGAGGGAGGAGCTTTGCATCCTCAAGAGCTGCAGAAGGAGTCGCCGGGCTCATGCTGGCCACGGGTGTTTTCTCCCTTGAGAGATGGACAGTGAGGGATGCAGATAAAAGCAGAGCTCCTACCCAGCAGGTGCAGCCTGGACCAGGCTTCTGTTTCCAGGCGCCCAAGGGTCTGAAGACCTCTCCTCTTTCCACGTTAAGATGGATGGGAGCAGTTGTTCGGCGTCTGGTTCGCAGCTTCGACGGTGCGTGGGTAGTTTAGAGGCATCCACGGAATGCCTCTGATGTCAAATTCATTAACACCAACCTTGGTTAATTAAAGGTGTCAGAAATGTTGTCCCTGACTCAGTCTGGTTGTCACACTGATCGTCTGCATTGCAGGCTCCTCTATAAGCTACCAGGGCCATTGTTGGATCACACTTTCCATCGCCGCCGGCAATTATTCAAGACACACTGTGGTAAAAAAATATGCATTTTGATACACTCTGAAAATATAATACAATAAATTTAGATGTTGAGTACAGTAGAACCTATATTTACGATTGTCTAAACATACGAATTTTCCAACATCCAAAGTGAAATTCGATCGAATATTCGACTCCACACCCGAAGTAAATTTCCAACGTTGAAGTCAGAAAAAGATATAAGAATTTAATAAGCTCAGTGAGTTTAAAGTTCACGTATTGTAAGTTAGGGGTAAGTTATGGAACGTACTGTATCTCAGCCAAGCCTAAACCTCCGTTCACCAGTCCAAGGTAAAGTGCCCAAAGTTTTTTGATGATTATTTTTCTATAATTTATTTTTATTTAGATTATCTTTTTACATATCTCTTATATAATGCATTTGTTTTATTGCTATGTGTAATTATTTGCAGTGTTTATTGAGGAGTTATCGCAGGTTTTTGGGCTGTGGAACGAATCGTACGAATTACAGTGTATTCTTATGGGAATATTTGAAACAACATACAAATATTTTCACATACGAAGTAGGTCCCGGAACAAATTAATGTAGTATGTAGAGGTTCTACTGTATTTACATCTGTATAAAAAATACAGTAAATGTAAGCTTTTATGGTTGAGCCCCAGGCATTGAATAATCCTATAAATTAGCACACTAGTTGGAATAATTTCAGTTTAACCAGTAGAGATGGGTACATCAGAACCAAAGAATGGAAATACTTTTGCAACTGGGACAAATCAGTCTACAGAAAATTAAATGAGGGAGTAAAAAAAAACCCAGCGTAACTCAACTCAATTACAAAGTAAAAGTAAAAGCCCAAATTACTCATTTTTGACTACGAAGCACTAATTGGTATCCTCCCCAGTGGAATTTGCTGAGTATTCAGTAAGTATCGATGCAGCTCAAAACAGCTGTGTTTGCTCTATTACACGTGTTTCCATAGCATAGTTTCAAGCTAACAAAGTACACTGTGTAATGTCTTTAGAGCGGTTGTGATAACGCTGAGGAAATAGTTTTCCCCCACCGGAACCAAAGATTCAGGAGGAAAAATAACACCCACAACTGGAAAGCCTGGACTGCTCTTCATCAGGATTCCCTCAGAATATTTGGATTTTCCATCATATCACTTCAATTATGTCGCTTACTTCATTAGCTGGCTTTGACAGGTCAGATCCAATTTGCAAAACCAAACGTGCATATGAACCTAATTAGTTCTTTATTAGGAGTTCCTTTTATCTGAACTTTATCTCTTCACCATTTCTTACTTGTATCTTGGTAACAAAAACCAAAATGGCCACCGAAGCCAAATATGGTCGGAGATTTCACTGAAAGCTTGAAGTTTGTTAGAACACGAAAAGCCTACACCTTAGTAAGACCCTTAATGTTGACTTTAGTTTCTGTAGTGTTCCTCGTTTACATGTGAAAACCATGGGAAATTAGGGCTAGTTTGGCTGCGGCGTTATCAGCATTACAAGTTAGAAAGCTATTAGGGAGGGGAATTTCACGGCTGATTATAGATCCCATAATCCTTTCTTGGTTCACCTCCCATCTGGCCACTCACCCTGTTTCCAAAACAGCCCCATCACTGAACCAGAGGACGGTGCTCTCAGACTGTGTGAAAAAAGTTGAGAAATGAAAAATGTTGCAGTACTTGGTGCAGGCTGATGCAGTAAAATTATGTTCTGATACTTTATCTAAGGGATTTTCTGTCTTTCCCCCCCGGTAGGTAAAGTTAAATGTCTGCTAAAGTATTGAAAGGTCATTTTCGAGCTGTAATGCATCATTCAGTGCCCCCGCTGGTCAATCTTTCCTGGCTTTATAGGTTAAAAAGGCTGTTATGGTCTTGTGGTTGACCACACACGACCCCTTGTGTAACTAACTCAGAAAATCTCTGACCTGCCGCAAAGTCGGGCTGAATAAATCATCCCGTGCTTCCATGAAAATGTTTGTCTGGGAGCCGGGTCAGGATTGGAGGCGAGGGCTTTTGGCACATAGGCGAGCAAACAGCCAGGCCTTAAGTCACGGTCCGTGCAGATTCCCACTGTGGGAAGATAAGCCGTGAAAAGAAATATTCCAGTGATTGCACATCCCTGTGTAAACTATCACCTCGCTCCGAGAGCCCGAGCAGACACCTCAAAGCACAGGCAGACGGGCAGATCGGCCTCAGTGCAGAAGAAATTGATTCGCAGCCTCAGACAAGATGGTGTCTCTTTAAGTCACTGTCAATGCATATTTGAAAAATTCAACAGTGATGAGCTTCACCTTTTGCCTCTTGCCAGCTCTGAAAGACCGCAAACCACCAGCCCTGTGTGTGATGTAGCCACTTGTCTGAAGGCATATTTTCTGTTTTGCTGCCAAGACTTTTTGACATAGAAAACAGCTATACTGGATGAAGCAGAGATATCTTTGGAGTGGGATTTTTTTTTTGAGTTGGAAATGCAAAGAGGACCACGTGTGTTTCAGTATCTTTATTTAAATTCTAAGAACAATGGGCTCTTTTTACCTTTTTCATTCTTTGTGTTATCTCTTCAATTTAATGGGAACTGCTTGCTGTATGAAAACATAATCCAAAACTGGATGTCTTTTATTTTTGTTTAGTTTTTTTTTTGCTGCCCTCATCCCGGGGCTTTTTAATTTAAGAGTGGCTCTTGCGGTGCATAAAGCGGAAAAAAATGAAATGCAGTGCACTTTAATCTGAAAGATTAATTTAAGAGGGATACCGCCTTTCATCAGCTTATACACTTTAGCGTGGCTTTCTTATTGTCTAATTCCATCTCTAAAAGTAACACATGCAAAATGACTTGTAACATGACCCCAATTAGACTGCGGCAGAAAAAATCTGGCGAAGAGCCATATCTGCTTTGAAACA